CGGACGATATCGTGCTTCTGTCAGATAATCTGGGAGAGACCAAAGACATGCTCCAAGAACTGAATGACATATGATAAAATTTCGATAAAACAAAATGATGACCAATTATGACCCAGTGAAGAGATACAGATTAATAACAACAAGGTCGAATTAATCGATAAATACACATACTTGGGTCATGAAATTAGAATAACCAGAGACAACCCAAACCTGCGAGCTAAATAGACGAATCACGTTGGGATGGACGGCATATGGAAGGATGGGGGACATTTTTAAAACAAATATCCCAATTCACCTGAAAAGGAAAGCATTTAACCAATGCATCTTACCAGTCGTGACCTATGGAGCAGAGACCCTAATTTTAACGACAGCTATTGCCGAAAAACTGAGGGTAAACACAAAGTCAAATGGAGAGATCAATGCTGGGCCTGACCTTGAAAGATCGCGTGAGAAATGGGAGATTACGCCGACGAACTGGGGTAGACGATATTATACTGTGAATCAATAAACAAAAGTGGAGGTGAGCTGGACATGTTGCTAGAATGGAAGACGGAAGAGTGGACGAGAGATTATTGGAGTGGAGACCAAGAGCCGACAAGCAAAGTCGAGGCAGACCACCCACCCGATGGACCGACAACCTAAGAAGAATAGAAACAAACTGGATTGCAGCAGCTTAAGATAGAGAGAACTGGAGACGTTTGGAGGAGACCTATATCCAACAATGGATGTCAAAATGGGGCTGAATGATGATGATGATGATTGGTGATCACCAGGATTCGTACTCCAGTCTGTTATTGCCCTCCACCATGAACATATTTATAAAGCTACATTATTTGTGACAAAACGATTCCAAACTCTATTTACAACACTTTGCACAATCCCCAAACGTTGAACCACTTCACATTGCGTTAACCTTCGTTGATTCACCTCACAATCTGTTGCATATCTAAAGGAGAGCATATCTAGATTCATTTCACATAATATGTCCGAAGAATTGTAACTTTCAAGATTTGATGGTGGTCAATACCTCTTGGTCCTTATTCATTATTCTGAGGACCTCCCCATTTGTGACTCAGTCCATTCACGGGATCTTAATTATTTTCCGATATAGCCACATCTTAAATCCTTCCAGTTTTTTACACATATCTTCATTTAAGGTCCACGAATTTAACACCATAAAAAGGAAGATAAGACGTATCATCGGAGCATTCTTACTTTTATATCAAGAGAGAGGTAGTGACTCTTGGAAAAAGCCTCCATACGATTGAAGGTGGATCTAGCTTTCCGATGCTTGCTTTAATCTCCTGGTTGTTGGTCCATTCTTCGTTTATTATGGTGGCGAGGTAGTTGTAGCGCGTCATTCTTTCTGCAGAAGATTGGTTGACATACAGTTGACCTTCTGTTATCCTTTTCTTGCTAATTATAAATTATAATATTCCTATAGTAGTATATAATAGTATTCCTATTCGGAGGATTTTGTATAGCTCTGTTACTATTGTAATATTCACATGTTCTATTTTGTGTGTCATTTCTGTTATCATAATTTTGTTGTCTAGTGTAATTGTGGTATTCTCTTGGCCTATATTCATTTGTTGATCAGGGATGTCGGTTTCTCTGGTCATAATTTGATTGGTACCTTCTTTCCGGTCCCTTATATTAGTCATGTTGTCTTCTGTTTCTCATTTCTATTCTTTCTGTTTTCTTTTAATTGCAGGAATTGGCACAAAACTATCAATATCTTGATAGTTTCTCAAATCAGTGATCCTCCAACGTTTCTTCGAAATGTCTGCTTATCATTTCTACCAGTTGTTCGGTAGAGTATTTGTAATCTAGATATTTTGAATTATATATATATCTGCAAAGCATTCTTTCTTCAAATATTTCATTTTCTCGTGATCATTTTTCATTCTGTAGCTCTTGTGTTGATTTTCCTCTGTTTATTTTTCCCCCAGAAATAGTTGAGAAATTTATTTTCGAAATCTGTCCAATTTTTAAAACTCATCTTCTTTGCTTTCATACCATGACGCTGCTTCTTCTTTCAGATGGTTTCTAATTGTTTCTTTGCAATCGTCCAAATTATTTAACATGTTGCAATTTGGTTTTCAAATTTTTAACAAACGGTACTGGGTGTGTTTTTCTAATATCCCCGCCAAATTGTATTTTCACCTTGCTTGTTTCATGGACGATAACTTCTCTTCTCTCTACTCCTCTTAGTTTAATTTTTGCCATTCGTTTTTCATTTTGCTTATGTTTCCTTCCCATTTCTTTCCTGTCTTCTTGTAACGCCATTTCAAATTTTTCTTCTAAATGTTCTAATTCCTTTTCTGGACAGTCTTAATATCCTTCATTTTAGTTTCTATTTCTTATCTCTGCATCTCTAGTTTCCTCTCTGTTTCTTTCCCTAACTTTTTCTAAACAGACTTTTACTTTATTTTCATATTTGTCCAAACGCCTTTTCCATTTTCCTTCATTTTCTTCTAATTTCTGTTCTTAGTTTTCCAAACGCTGCCTCTATATTCCTGTTATTTTGTTCTATTGCTTGTTTTGTTTCCCGTTGGTTTTCTTCTGTTTTTAGTGATGTTTCTTTTTGGTTTTTCTCTTATCGTTTGTTTTGTCTCTTCCATTTTTAGTGAATGGAGTTGCATTAGTTTTAATATTTTATCTATTCCTGATGATTCTTTTCTCTCCTCAACTATTTCTAACATTTTCCTTCATTATCCGATCCTTCTTCCAAAATTGCTTCATCTTCTCTGTTCTCCTCCTTCCTTTCCTGTATTTTGCTTGGTCTCCTTGTGACATGATATATTGTTTCTTTTCGTTACTGTTTTTGTCCCGTCAAATGTGAAATTTAACAACACTCCAGAACACGACACACTATTTCTCCCCAATTGTAATAAATTTTCACGACCAATATCAAATATGCAAACAATAAAATTCAAATAATTTAAAATAAATATAAAATGTATGATTGGACAAAGAAAATAAAAATCAAATAATTCAATGCAATAAATATCCAATCAATACAATCAATCAACGGACCACCTGTAATTATTCCGGCTCTCCTTCCCTATTATCAAATGTAAAGCTTGCGATATTTTCAAGCCCCACGTTTGGAAGCCAGTTATTGCTTCTTTAATAAGCTTTGTCTTCTTAACTTGTACTTGTACTTGTACTTGTACTTGTTGATAAGAACTTGTACATCTTCTAAGTTGTCTGCAAATATTATGGTGTCATCTGCATATCTGATGTTGTTTAGCCAGTAAGCACTATTCTTATATCTTTACCAGCTTTACAAACAATTTTTGGTTTTCCAATATTGCTTTGATTGTGCGGCTCTACCCGTACCAAAACGTTTTATCCATTTTTAGTCTTGATTAAAATAATACGTTTAATAATTGAAAACTTGTGAAAAAAGTGCCAAGAGTGCCTTTTAACACCCTATATACTTCTTATTTCCAATTAGAAACTTTAAATTTTTTCCCATATGAATTACTTTGCCAAATTGACTGAATACCTCATTGTATTGCTCAGGCCTGGTAATAACTTCTTTTTCTTCAACACTTGTTCAATTCTGCCAAAAACTCGATCGATAGAAAGAAATAAGTGACCTGACACTGTAGTTCATTTAGTTACTTGAATCAGTAGAATGTTCTTATCATATTTCCCCATTCGGCTTATTTACTTACTAAATAATTGGAGAAATCAAACAAACAAGTAGAACTTTTACTATGTTATATCTGTGAAAAGTTTCGATATATTTTTCTCTCTAACACCCATTATAAATTTCCTCCCGCATACGTCGGCTCGAGTCACACTTTCTGCTTTATGACAAGCGTAGCTTAAAATGTCCATAAAAAACAAACGAACGACTTTATCGTCCCAAAAGGATGAAAGTTTAAATGTACGACAAAAACGTCCGAGCAGTAAAGTAAGATTATTTTATGTAATCATATATTCACTTCCTGTTTCAACGGAAATAACTTCTTGTAAATCGGTCCCTGGACTACGTTGTTTTTCTTTAGAAGGAAAAAGATAGAGATTTTTCTAAAGGGTATATTACAGAATATATTGGTAGAATTATAAAATAAACTACTTTGGAATATTATATATATATTATATATATATATATATATATTATATATATATATATATTAAACCTAGAGCTAAGCTTAATATTATTACAAAAATTAATTTTATACTCGCCGGTCTTCCGCGTTAAACCGTGTCGATCTCCATTGGGCCGAGCTTTCGACATCTTCTCTAATGTCTTCATCAGGGCTTCCGAAGTCTTAGTCTTCCTCAGGAAAGCAAGTAGGATACTAGCAAGTAAAGTTGTGAAAGTTAAATGATAAGAATTTAGCAATATTTTTAAGACTAGAGTGCTGGAAAAGCTTGAGGAAAAAGATACGGCAAATGACAGCTGGAAAGAAGTGATGTTGTGGTGCGAGTAAAGTAAGTGTAGTAAATACAGTAAATTGAATTTACTGTTTGTATTTTGAGAACGATTTCCGAAGTGGAAATTGAAACGTCAATAAACGTATTTTTATCTTTAATTGTGGCTTATTCCCAGTTAAATAGAAATTAATATTTTTTTGTGGTCACAGAAGTTATTTTTCATTCTTTCATATTTTTTAAATTTAATGTTTTACTACACAGGTTTTTTTTTCTAGTATTAGCGATTTATTTCTGATATTGTTATACGTTGTATATGAGTTTTATTCTAGCAAATGCAATTTAGCTAGTGTTTTCCATTGCATTTTTGTATATTTAAATAACTTTAACGAAAAAGTAATATCACAGAACAAATTGTGGTCACTATTACTGAAAAAGACAATGAAAAATACGGGCCTTCTTAAAAATCCACTATCTCTCGGCAAGAAACCCAAGTTATATTCGTAGATAAATTGTTTGAATTCTCATCATGTCCTTTTTACACCAACGCAAAAATGTCTACATAATTCAGCCACGAGAAAGCTTTAAGACTTTTTTTTATTTTTCAGCAAGTGCCGGTAATGGACCAACATCCGCACAATCGAGGCCATGATCGAGGCCACGATAACCCTGTCTTCGAATCTCCGAGCAGGAAAGTTTCCAGTGTCTCAGAAGCAGAAATAGGGCCCGTCAGGAAAAAAAGCATATTGCACAAAAACAGCGATTTCGATATAGTTAGCAACTCGGGGAAGAGCGGTAAGTAGTTTTAGTTCGATATTGGGACCTTAGATACATCGTATTCCTTCTTTATATTTATAGGTTTTTTGTTATAAAAAGAAACTACAAAAATGTACGATCGTAATTTTATTGCAAAAGATATAAAACAATAATAATCAAGTGTTCTTTTTTAAAGACAATGGTACTTTTAGTAGTAATAATAAGACAATAGTAGTTTTAAAGTACTCAAAATGTATTTTGAAAGTAATGAAGAGCGTAAATAATAAAAATAATAAATATAGGACAAAATAACGAAATAAAGAACTGTTTGGAGAAAATACCTTAGAGCAATCAAGTGCATTGACTGAAAAGCAAGATTTATGTTCTACAACATCAAATAATTAATACATATACAGGGTGAGTCATGAGGAACTTTACATACTTCTACCATATTATGTAGAGTCGCTCAGATAGCATATCATGTGGCCACTAAAAAATGTCAACTCCTCTTCTTTATTAATTAACAGGGTGATTTGTGTAATTGACCATTTATTTCATTTTACTGTAGTGTTTATACGGCTCATTTGATTTTTTAAATTTTTGCATGATACAGTACACTACTATCAAGCATTCGACTGGTATTAGCTAACCTAAAAAATTCCAGGACTGGCTTTGGAAAAATTAATTTAGAGATTCGTATTAAATATTACACCCTGTATATCTTTTTTTTTAAATGCAATAAGTGATTTTTAAACTACATAAATAGCCAATGAAAACGACATATCCGACAATGTTGTAGCATTTTTATTAAATTTTTAGTGAACGATCAAATCTTACAAAAATAAGATAAACAATAATGAAGTATCAAATTATAAGGTATTAATTTAAACAAATGTTATAAATTTCAAACATTTTAATTAAAATGAGTTCCTACAACATAATCTAATACGTAGAAATTAACATCTTTACTGTCACTTTGTATTATCTCTACGATAGAATCAATTGTTTTTCAATTTTAAATTTTTACTCATAGATCGTATTGGGGCATTATTTTAGATAAATAATAAATTAAATTGATTAAAAAGTCAAACCTCTTGTATGTGTTAGTTTTTGTTGATTGTAAATGATTAAAATTTTATGTCAAATAATATACATTGCATCAAATGTACTAAATAAAAATAAATCTAAAAAAGTGAATAACGTGACATTCGACGCAGGACGTGACATATATGTGACATTTGTCGCAGAACGTGAAATGTAGGAATTACGTGACGTGAGACGTTTTGACGTAACAGTTATGTGTCAGTCAAGACATCGCTTGACATAAAACGTGACATTCAACATAGGACATATTCAGTAGTACTATGAATTCCATCGAGTACATACATAGGGTTATGGAATTTCAACGTAAACTTGATCAGTTAAATAGAGACATTAAATCATATGAGAATATAAAACAAATTAAAAGACAATTAGATAGCCTGCATATTGAGGACAAAACGTGGAAACCAAAAGAGTTAAATCTACAGCAGCAGCAGCAGCAACAGCAAGACACCTGGATTTACGCCTGCAGAAAACTGCCACCAGCTTCATATCCATTGAGACGTATTCAACCAATACCATGGGCGTTAGCAACAACACCAGCGAGCATATGAAAAGTGAAATAGACAATGTCTTTGCAATGTCTTGTGTAATATTAGCATCTGTATTTATTCTAATTTTAAAAATTATTTTCGAAATTGTAAGGAGAAAAATTTGAATCTTCTTGTAATATAAGACTCGATCAATAAAGATGTGATAAATAAAAAAGCGTTTATTTCTAATATATTTATTTATACATAAAAATTACAATGGCATTATGTTATTGGCAAACCAGTGACGTAGACGATCCACATTTCTTTCGGTGCATGAAAATAATCCAGAGGCATGACATGGGTTTGCAGTAGGGCCAACGTTTCCAGTAGCATGAGGTGTACCATCAAACTTGCAAACATCAATAATAATGGGAAAAACTCCAAAAACGTGACGTTTCTTATCCAAATATTCTGCTTTTTGTTCTCCTCGAACGTAGATGTAATCTGCTGCATACAACAACTTGGATTCTAGTATTTCATTGATTTTGGACAATTCTACGTGTCCATCAGAGTATCGAATTCCAAGCAGTTTTTTCTCCACGTATGATGCAGTCTTCTTATCCTCACTAGTGAGCGCAGTAAAAGGTTTCTGAGGTAAAAATATGTAATGACTTCGTTTAAATCCTATTTCAATGGTAAGTTCTTTGGAACAAACCATCCGTCCACATTGAATCCCTGAATGTCTACGAATGCTACTCTCATGATGACTGCTCGCGTACTACTGGCAATTTATGCATCTAATTTAGACTTTTTACAATTTCAGTGAGAGGGAAGTACTCCATTACGCAGTCGTGAATTATAATGCAATAAGCCTTGGTATTTTCGGGAAAACCATTATTCGCTTCAATATCGAGTTTTTACGTCAACAGTGGATGCTTTCATGCTTTCTTCTTGCTTCGAACAATCGATAACGAACAATGTGTGTTGTGCGAAACCTGAGAAATCGAGTAGAGGTCGCTTTTGTTGGGATTGTATGTAGCTAGGATAGAATTCGGTATAATTGAAATAGGCCTCATTGTAGTCAGTTTTGCTAAAATCCAACTGCATTCTCTCGTTCGGCCAATATTCTCCATTTAAAGATAATCTGATACTTTGTATGTGGATATTGTCAAATAAGGTGGATCGGCGTCGCTTTTGTCACGTTTATTGGTTTGAAAGAAAACAATGACATAACGAGGTCTTTCCACTGCATTGCTAGTTTTTACAGCCCAAACTTCACGTCTAGCGCCTTTGGTAAGTGCTGGTAATTCATGCAATTCCCACTTTCTAAAAGGAATAACTATAGGTTGATCTTGTTGAATGGATTTCATAAGTTCCAATTTAATATCATCATTGGGAAATATGTGCTTGACTCTAAGCTCAATATTGGTAATGTTAATCTTAACAGTTGTAACATGACCTGGAGTTTTTTCTTTGACAATTATGCAATCGTTGTCATTTCGAGCTCGAACTAGTCTTATTGTTTGACGACCACACGTAATCATAGGATAATCATTGAAAATGTTGAAAACATGCTTAAGAGGCATCTGTATGTTGAATGAATGATCGGCAGCATGTAGAATTGGATCCTTAGGGTAATTCCACCCCGCCATTGCCATATGACTGGAATCTTCTTGAGTATAACATGTCATAGCACGTACAGCGCTTACGATACCAGGATCCCGCACTGTTTCCATCTCCCTTGCGCTTTCGCTGTACGTACACGAATCGAAAAGAAAAGCACCCACATTATTTGCTAGTTTGACTTCACCATTGCCGTTTATTGCGAGCGATCCTTTAATGCATAACAAGGTTTCACTCATTGCAAAAAACGAGTCAACTTGATTGATGCTAAATTCTACAATGTCATTACAGTTGAATGATTTGATGAATGGTGCATATGTTCGGTATTCGGCCTTTCGAATCGATTCGTCAAACATCGGCTTACGATAAATATCAAATATTGGAGGCATTATGCTGTTTGAACGGGATCGTTTCCATACATGGTTGTCATTTTTTCAGCTTAAAACCAAGTGATTGTAAAAACAATTTGTTTGCAAACGTAAGATGTTGCCGCTTAGATGAGGACGTACGATGTTGTCGCTCAGACGGCTGCACAACTAATGGTGTACTATGGGCAGTAGATTGTCTTATTACTAATCCCATTTCCCACGTGATCTAAGTTCCAACACCAAGGTGCTCTGTTCTCCTCGAAAGTTTACAGGGCGTCCGTCTTGATCGACAGCCAACACAGTGATATTGGTAATTTCTCGTTGCGGTACAACAGGTAAATACAACAAATTGTGTGGAGTTTCGTCAATTGCGTACCCAGGATTTGATTGTATGACAAATTCGTAGATCGTGTGAGCAGGTCTGTTACCATCGAAGGCTCCGGTACTAATGTTGCATTCAAAGCGTATGCTAGATACTTTAATAATCCTAACAGGTCGATCTGAAGAATGTGTCTGTCCTGGAGTGAGAATTGCAGGAGAAAATCCCAATACTGTACCAAGACTGTCAGGGTGCGTAAACGAAATCTTATATTTGCTGAAAATTTGACATTGCAACGTGTTGTGGTTAGGTTTCAGACTAAATATCGTTTCGGGCTTAAGCACATTATCAGCACCCAATTTCTTTTGTATATATTCTTCAATATCGGCAATTTCATAACATCCATCGGGGAAATCAAAGTTTTTGCAATTGGTTTTTGTCATTGTAGTAATAAAACTTGTTATTTTCAATGTTTGGTATACTGTTGTAGGAATGGAAAGCACGAAGAGCTATTTCATAATCTTTGTTCGGATCCAACACGATCGGTGTGGGAGGTTGAAATGAGAATATGTAATTGGTGCTGTCTACTCTCAACAACTGCGACATGATGACTGACTCACGTCAATCTAGTAATAGGTTATTATATTAGAAAAACAATATTTACTTTAGTAGTTTTATTTGTTCCAAAGCAAGTTTACATAAATGACATTTAGCTTGAGAATCAGGTGGACCATCCCAGTGAGTCTTCCAATCAGGTCTGTTGTAATGTACATAGCAGGGAAGTAGTATCTGCAAGTTAAATTCTCCTCGATAGTCTTCAGGCAATTTATGCCATATACTTAACAATTCTGAAGGTCGTACAGTTCGTATAAGATAATCGAGCGGTATGTATTTTAGTTCTTCTTCACTGAATTCTGTAAAATATTTTTTGCGAAACATATGGTCCATAAGCAGATTCGTACTTTTAGTAGGCTCCATTATATAAAAACTTTAAGCATAAATGTCCACAAATAATTTGATTGTACGTTTGATACTGATGGTTATTATAGGAAATGTTGGCACGTGCACCACCCAGATACTTAACAAGTTCTTTGGTCGGCTTTAAATTACCAAATGAATCGAAATACTCTACGTCGCTGTTTATCTTTCTATATG